GTAAAAGTACCTCTTCAAACTGCTTCCTCTGTATTCTTGATTGTTATGTGCTTAGATCATTTTAAAAGTCAAAACACCACAAGTAAAAAGAATGCACTGACAGGGCACATCCAAACATCACTAACTGTAAGGCTAGAGCAATCCTAGTTCCAAATGTTTAAGATGACAGCAACTCAGGAGATGCTTCACATCCACTTATATCATAACCTCTTTCTGAATCAAAACACATCTAGAAACACAAGGAATTTACAACACCAAGACGACTACTTGGAAATACTACCTTCTTCATCATCAACTTTAGGAAGAATCCCAGTCTCCTCATCAAAATCAGGAAACTCTTCCTTGGAAAGCACATTAGCTGCAATCATCTGGGAAAAGAATGAATACAAGATGGATTTGTCCCCATGAACTAGCACAACCCACGCCCACAAGGTCTCAGTTCTAACGCTATTGCCAGACTTGTAAAACAGGAGCAAAGGAACATTGTGATTTCAGAGCAAAGGAAAGGCCCTACATTGTGGCACATCTCTTCCAGTCTCTAAGTCATCCAGTCTCTGAGCAAACATAGTCCTTTTGTTATTTTAAATACTGTCAGTGGAACAAGTACCACCTAAATGTCACTGGATAAAGATGTGATCCCCCAGGTCAGCTCTGGGAGTTACCTGGTCCAACCTCCGGCTCAAAAGCAGGGCTAACTTCACAGACATAACTAAGCTAGAAGGCCCAAATCATTCAGAGGTAAGGAATAAGCCACACAAACACACAATCAAGGAGCCGTATTCTAGTTCAGGAAACTCCCTAGCAGTTTTACCGACTGACACTATTTCCCTGAAAACACACCTGTTTTATTTCCCATTTCTCCGGGTCTGAGATTCGGGTGAGGCGTTTCCGTTCGAGGCTGTCATCCTCCACCTCCGGGGCGTTCACCAGAGACAGGTGACTGGGTCTGTCCGGGTTCCTCATAGAGGTTTCTTCATTGGTTTCTCCAACCAGGTTTCTCCTCCGGTTTGGGTTCAAGTCTTCCCCAGTGTCTTGATCAACATCCTGCATTAGATTGATTAATCAATCAGCTCTACCTATATTGCACATCTCCTTACCTATTAACACTGGTGCTTCTTCTAGCACAAGAGAAAAAGCAAACCACGTTTCTTAGAGAAACTACTATCAACAACAGCCCATACACATAAAATGCTATTTTGCATACTTTTTTTTTTTTCCCCCTCAGCTGGTACTGTGAGGTAAGTCACCCCAAGGCCTGGAACACTCTGCCTTGGCAATAGCAGTGATTTCATTTAATGAAAAGCTTCTCTCATACTGAGAAAGGAAAATAAACACAGCAGGAGCTTGAGGTCTGCCTTGTCACTCAGCTAAAGCGTCAAGTCAAAGAGCTGTTAGGAACACTGCATCAAAACAAAGAACCTACAGAAAATGAAGCAAGAGGTAACAGGCCACTTAAATACAGAACAGCAGCTCAGATTTTTACACTCCTACTTCAAAGGTTAAGTATTAGTTTTCACCAAAAAGAGCAAAAAACAGCAAGAAGAGGCATAATCTTCAAAAAATTTGGCAATACAGACTCTACCTATAAGCACCATAAAATGTGCTCCATACCTTCATGCTCAGGCTGGTTTTGGATCCAGTAAAGGATAACACTTTGACTTTTACTCTTTGTCCTTTGCTCACAACATCGGCGACATTGGCGACCCGTCCTTCCCGTCGAAGCTCCGAGATGTGGACTAAACCCTCCCAACGCTTCCTGTGGGCGAAACAGAGGGGCATTATTACTCCGACAGTCCTTCAGATCATTCAGAGTCTCGATTAAAATATTTTGTTGTCAACTGGTTGGTTGTGTACATTCATCAACTGTTCTTTATAAGGAGAACATTCTCTGCTATCCAATTTATTTTTCTGAAAAAGACTTCCAGTTTGGCACCAAAACCCAGCATGCCTTATTGTAGCCCCATAACCTCTTTAAGGTGCTAGCAGAAAAGGGAACTCAGATGGAATAGTACCAGATCTGTTGTGAATGTCAGAAGGTACCTTAGTCCTTCCAGCTGCACAAAGCATCCGAACTGCATTATACTCGTGACCTTGCCATTGTAAATGTCTCCAATGGAAGGCTCCTCGGGCGGCGGGCGGTCTACGTGCTTGTCTCTCCATCTCTCGCTGCTCTTCTCCACATACTTCTCTCGATCCTTACGGTCCCTACTGGGACTCTGACTTCTGCTCCTTGACCGGTATCTGGACCTTCCCCTGTTCCTATCCCGAGTCCTAGAGCGAGACCTAGAGCGAGATCTGCGCCTTCGCTTCCTGTCCCTGCTACGACTCCGGCTCCTCCTCTTTTTCTTTGCCCTAACAAACAAACATTACATATTTGCAGTGGAATTCCACATAAGAAGAAAACAAGCAAGCAATGCCACTGCCAATACCTGTCCCGCAAAGACACACCAGAAACCCACCGGTGGTCGCTGCTCCTCTGCCTGCCCTGTCTGTCTGCACTAGGCATCAGAGCTTCGAGTTCCTTCAGTGCATCAGCTGCGACTTTCACATCATCTTCATCCAGCATGTTCTGCGAAAACAGAGAACCATCCTCTAAGAGGGCTGATAAAAAGTCTGTCACAGAGAATTAATCTAGATAAAGGATGATCACATACACATCTATTTAGAAGGAATATAAGATTTAAAAAAAAATAAATCAGACAAAATACATGATGTAAGGGGAAAAAAAGTGATTGAGCTGTCCCCCTATTCTGCCACAATATTGAGCCAATTCTGCTTTTTGTATAAAAGAGCTTCATCTCAACACCTTAAATTATTACAGAAATATAAAATGCAAGTCCCTTGTAGCAAATGAATGTCCAAAATTCTTATCTAGTTTGTAATCCCTCGTTACTTTTTTAGACATTATGTCAAAAAAGGACAGGCTAGAAATTTCCCGTCACAAGAGCCTCATCTTCCAGGTATTCTGCAAAACAGTAACAGCTAGTCTTAACAACTGTATGCAATAACACCAGCCTTCGACCTCTTTAGTATTTCATTTCTCATAGTTCACTTCTATCCATATATTAGCAGAAGAGACATTAACATGAAAGAACTTAAAACTAAGGGAAACAGGGAAAAAAATAAATTATGTTTTCACATACTCACGAAAGAAATCTGAAATTACAACCTTACCCTGATGTTGGGATTGTCTGGCCTGCAAAGGGCTGGGAACAATTCCTTCAACTTTTCCTTCTCTGATTTGGGTTTGACAACTGTCTCTGATTTTGAGATTCAAAACAAAAAAATAAAATGCTATAACTCAGGAGAGCTAGAATAATTCACTCTTGATTTTTGTGTAAATGAATATAAAGTTTAACTTTCACCTGAATGCAAAGGTTGATACAGATTTTAGAGTCTCAAAGATCACAATGTTACCTTCCTAACAATAAAATTCTGATTATTAGCAAATCTGTAAAATACATAAGTACTCTAAATAACGTACTCAGCACGTTTTTGGCACTTAAATGGCTTTGCCAATCTACCACTAACAACAGAGAAACTCCCACCGCAGCAGTAAGTTGCAAAGTCTTGCCTTACAAGACCAGAACAATAACTACATCAATCTCAGCAAACACAGCCAAAAACTACAAAAGACAAAGTTCTGGTTTTCTTTTTACACTGAACTGGTAAGACAGACAAGATGACGTTACCTTTACTTGTGGATGGTTTCGGTGGAGGCCTCATTGTCTGTATGAGCCGTAACAAATTGCTAATAAGGGAATCCTGAAAAATGTAATAAAATACTTTAACCTCAGAAATAACTGCAACCCTTTTGTATTACTAAAAGGCACAATTGAGGGTTTATTAGCAGGACAAAAAAAATCTCAATTCTGAAGATGCTGGTTCATTTTCAGAAAGTATCCCTGGTCTTCATGTACATCCTAATACGACATAATAAAACGAATCTGAAAATTATTATGATAATCCCATTTAAGTGACTTTTCTATTTGTCATTTTTTAATGACCTGTTTAGTCCACCCAGTTATTTCTGAGGAACTCATGAACCCAGCATCTAAGTATCATAAAAACTCCTACAACATTTGCCTTTGTGAAAAGCTATTCCTTCCATATTTTACATACTCAACGAGACAATAAGCAGCTCGACTTCTCAAAAGGATGCTTTGCAAAGACTACAGAAGTTTTTAAAAAAGGAGGAAGAAGGAAACTTGGCTTGATGAGACAGGAATACTCAACAGCTAATTAATGCATATTTTACCAACTGAAGAAAACCAATGACTCCTCATACCTGTTTATTTAAAACAAAAAGCTCTATAAAATATACCAGGACAAGAAGAACACAAAAGTAACGTTCAGATCTCGCTTACAGTGAACTCGGCACCGTTCTTTAGAAGAACTGCTTTAAACGTGTCAAAGGTGGTATTTTTCTCAGCAAGACTTATCACAAACTCGGCTGTAAAGAAGAAGCAGAACAGGAATTAGAACAGAGGGTTCAAAGGCAGCACAGGCCCTTCCCATCGGGATACCGGCTGCTGTCCCGGCAGCGCCGCGACCAGCTCGGTCCGTCTGCCCGCAGCGGCTCCCCAGGCTCCTTCGCGGGAGTCCAAGCCGAAGCGTTCGCTCGCGACAAGTTTTCTGAAGAACAATCAGGGGGTTCCGAATCCGAAAGGGCCCGCCGCAAAGCGCGTCCTGGCCGACCGCAGCGGCCCCAGCAGCCCCCCCCGCCGCGGGCCGGTGCCGCGCTCACCCAGGTCCTTGTCGTTGATGCCCAGGTGATTGTCCAGCTCGGTGCAGACCTTGGAGACGAGCGACAGGTACTCGAGCTTCGCCA